CCAGCTCTTCAAACAACTCAAGCGCTCCCATTCATGACGGAGGTCAACTGTAGTAGCCATGAACTGTACTAGTCGAAAACGAAGCGAAACAGCAACGTTTTGTTCGTGTTGCGACGCGTGCGTAGGCTGCCACGCTCGATTGACTTCCGCTGATCTGCGAGATCGCGTTGATCACGACTCGACTTTTTCAAATGCAATCCCCCTACTTTCTCTATTGCTATCTACAGGCCAGCTACTGAAGGGTCTCTGTACAAAAAATCAGGCACCTACGATGTACGTGACCGCCTCTGTGCTCCATTTTCGTATGCACTGTCAGCATAGGTCGAAATCGACCTACCGGCACCTAAGGGTTAAACAATCAGCTCATGTGATAACAAAGAAAAAGGACATAGGAACTACAAGTTACGCTATAATGTCCACTAACACCACCAGTTACTAAACAATCAGCTCATGCGATAACTTTGTACTTTTTCTTTTTTCTTATAAATTGCCCAGTGACATAATTTGTACCGCAAACACCCCACACAGCCACCTGGGCATGGTTGTCTGGGGTGTTGAACCGTGCATCCCTGATCTCAGCGTACTCACATGACGCCCCACACAGCCACCTGGGCATGGTCGTCTGGGGCGTTGAACCGTGCATCCCTGATCCCAGCATACTTGCATTACTCTTGCAATCCATATTTGGCAATTGACAATGGGCTTATTGAGGTGGCTTTTTCTGGCCATTGATTCCCCATTTCTTTTTCTTTTTCATTTTTTTTTCATTTACACACACACATACACGTACCTACAGTCCGTTTCAAAAAGATTTACAATCAGGTTTTGGTCTTACAAAGTATGAAGATAAGGGAAATTTGGACAACAAAGTACATAAAAGGGCTTGTTAGGGCACGGCAAATTGTTCTGTGAAGGTTTCGGAACAATTGGCCCAGCGGTTAAGGAGTTATAATTTCGGGCAGGTTTCGGTGGCGTTCCTGCGGATGCGGAAAACTGGGCCTTTGGCCGAGTCTCACGCGAACCATGAATTTTTCTTTTTTCGGGCCTTTTCCCATGGTTTACAATTTGCCCTGGAAGCCACTATTTTGTATCAAAAATCCACGATTTATCTTTTCCTTTTTGGCCTTGTGGTTATGAATGCTGTCTGCTGAGTGCTGAACATGAAGTTGTGAGTTCAAATCCCAACCTATCTTCAAGTCAAAATTTTCATTGTTTTGGTGATCAAGTCGGTGCAAGACAAAGCCTTGAAGGTGGCTGCACCAAACGACTTGTTGGAGCTCGCGCTTCCTGCCGAACTGACTGGCACTTGACTGGCTCACGCGATGTGAACACACCCACAACACTGAAATGGTGTGAGTGAATATGGAAGTCATCGCGCTGTAGCCACATGTAGCAGTACAAGTACAACATGGCCAGCAATCGAGGACATCTGAGAGTTGTAATTTTTGTACTCCTCCGAGGTGTGATTTTTGGCGTGCTGGGCCAAGCACAAGGAAGCCATCTACAAAAAAACTGCAGAAAATGGTTGTTGTTTGATCCTTTGGTGTAATCTTTGTTTCTAGTCGAAGCTAGTTGCTGTTTGGAGCAGAAACGCTGAAATTGACTATTTTCTGCATGTACTCATACATGTACTCATGTACTCAGGCATGCAGTCTCACTCGTATTTTAGCTCTTTTTCTGGAATGGATGCTGCTCTGCGCCCCTTGGTGAACATTTCCTGCGCTCGTGGAGCAGCTGAAAAGGACCACTGGTATGTCTGGTTCCTGGTTTGAAAGTGGAGAGTCGACTTTTGTGCCTTGAAAAAGGAGTAGAGAGCGATAGAGGTACGTCTGTTGCTTATTTTTGAGTGCTCCTCGTACATTTTTGATCGTGATAGAAATTCTCAGACCAAAGTCAGACCAAAGTCAGCGCGATGATGGTCGTACAGTTTTCTTGTGGATTTTTTAGTTGTTTCATCTCGTATCTATGTCAGTATCGTGATGGTGAAGTGGAGAGGGTGATTTTCTTCCTCTAGGCTTCGTTCGGCCGACTTTGCTTCGTCCTCGTTGAAAAGTGATCCTGAAAAAAAGGTCGATTCGAAAAATTATGTTGATTTTCAATGTACGTGATGACATGCCATTGCGGGCTATGGTACGTGTTGCACATCGCGATCGATCGATTTCTTTTTGAGAATTATTTCAAGATCGCCAATTTATTTGAATTTATTTAGCAGTCAACACGGTCTCCTATCAGCTTTCACAGGCGTCTGCTTTTCTCAAAATGTCGTCGAAGTCACACGTATAGCTTTCGAAGTCATGGCGTTGGGAATGAGTCTATGTCAATGTCGTTTTCGTCAAATGGTGAGAGTAAATAATTGTAGGAAATGCTCATTTCGCTAGAAAGTTCAAGAATCTATTTCTTCATTTATTTCTTATTTGTCTAAAGTCACTAACTAACTTACATTAAAATTACAGTCTTCTCAGATATTTATTTACCGGTTTTCATTCCGTTTGGCTATTGCAGACGCTCGTTTGTAGTGTGTGTCTCATACTACGTAACTGTTTCTACGTACCGGTAACTTCTTCAGCGGACACAGATACGTGTAACGTGTGCACGTATAACTTGTTCTACATACGCGCGCACCCCTTTGTGTGCGCATGCTGTTCCTATTTTGCTATGCTCTTGTAAAATGAAATCATTCTTGTTTTCGAGTTATCTGGCATCCATTGCTTGGACTTCTTTGGAGCGAATAATTATTGAAGGGAAGAGTCAAGATGTATTCTCTTGTTGGAATAATGAGCATGAGCCTGATGTCAGTGATGAGGATATAAATTAGTTAATCCTCCAGTTCCCACGGAATTCGTATGTTGAGAATTTCGTACATGGTCCTTCGAGCTTCAACACGAGCCCGAGAAATTTGATTTGTGATTATGGCCGAGACGGAGTCTGAGTATCAGCCAAAGACGACAACAGTGTCGGTCCAACAGTTAGTTCGATTGCGTGGAGCACATCGGTCAGCTGCCTCCAAATTGGTATCTAGAATCGATGATTTTGTGGAGAGGATTTCCTATGTTACGAGGAGCTCACCCGAGTGGCAAGGGGAAGATCCCAGCGTAAATGATAGAGAGGATAGTGCCTTGGACCTGAAGAAACTCCGGGAGAAAGTGGATTTGCTGGGTCGCTTGGACTCCCAAATTTTGGACGCCATCGAGGACGACGACATTGAATCTGAAATTTGTGATGCAGCGGATTATCTTATGAAGTACGAGTCCCGCATCGGCAGGGCTACGCGAGCCATTTCAGATGCAAGTCAACTGTTGGAGAATATCGCCAGTGTACGGGCTTCCCAATCCTCACAGCCAAAGTCACTGTCACCCGTTTCCGGAAAGGATGAGTGCTGCACAACAAGCAAGGCCAAGGGCAATCTGGACAGTCGGGAATCAGCTCCAGATGAGACTGGTGAGGACTCGCCAGTTGTCGCCCCGTGTGTCTCGCGTTCCAGTGTAGTATCTAGTACGAGTGCCAGTAGTGGAAGCAGCTTCCACCACCGGATGAAGCTGCCCAAGCTCGAGATTCCTAAGTTCAGCGGTGACATCCGAGCTTGGTCCTCGTTTTGGGACATGTTTGGGTCGGCCATTGATGGCAATGACACCCTGGATGACGTTGATAAGTTCAACTACCTAAAGTCCTTGGTAGTGGGAGAGGCACGAGAGGCAATTGCCGGATTTCCCCTGACAGGAGCCAACTACAGGGCTGCAGTTGACGTCCTCAAGCAACGATTCGGCAACGTCCAGGTCATTGTCGCCAGCCACATGGAGAGCCTCTTGAATGTTGCTTCTGTCACCAGCGAGGATGATGTAACTGGCCTCAGGAAGCTATACACCACCGTTGAGACACACATTCGTAGTTTACAGTCCCTCGGGATGAGTCGCAAGTCTTATGGATCCCTGTTGACGTCTGTTTTGATGTCCCGATTATCCGCAGAGTTCCGGCTCATTGTCAGCCGCAAGATTGTCGGGACTGAGCAGCATTGGGAGATCGGTGAGCTGCTATCGGCTGTCCATCTGGAGCTGTGTGCCAGGGAGCGAGCGGCACCGGCAGCTAAGCCAACCAGCCCGATAGCCCAACCCAGAAAGTCCGCACCAGCCACAATGTCAACACTCTACACTGGTGCGCCTGAGCAACTGAAGTGCTTCTTTTGCATTGGTAGTCAAACTGCCGGGAGATGCGTAACAGTGACGAATGTTGCCACCCGTAGACAGATCTTGAGGAAGCAAGGCAGGTGCTTCCGATGCCTCAAACGCAATCACATGGCAAAGACCTGTCCGAATGCATACTCTTGTGTCAAGTGTGGTGGGAGCCACAACGTAGCCATATGTAGTGGCGAGAGGCAGCAGAAGGCAGAGATGAACACGCAGGCTGTTGCTGCGAATGCTTCCATGGACCCTCGCAGACAGGAATCAGTATTGCTACAGACCGCCAAGGCCGTGGCTTATAATGTCACACAGTCCGATCGCAGCGCCGCTATCCGACTGTTGATGGACGGCGGCAGCCAACGGACGTATGTTACGAGCGCTCTCCGTGACGCTTTGCAACTGCCGGTCCTGGATCAACGTAAGGTCATCATCAAGGCGTTCGGCCAGGACAACACAACGTCCCAAGTAGTTGATGTAGTTCAACTTGGAATCCGAGTCCCCGACGGCGAGGACATCACGGTACAAGCCTATGCTGTGCCGCTATTGTGTGACCCGATTACTGGCCAATCCATGCACACGTCAGTGGAGTGCTGTAGTCACCTCGATGGATTGGCGCTAGCCGACACCAGATATGACACAGGTACTCGATCAGTGGACCTGCTAATCGGCGCGGACCTCTACTGGACTATTGCAACGGGTAACATCATCTGAGGTGCCGACGGACCTGTGGCCATTGAGACAAAGCTAGGGTGGGTCCTATCCGGTCCAGCCACCAAACTTCCCACGCCAGAAGATACCAGTGCACTGGCCACGCACGTCTTCTCCATGAGGGAGAGAGTGCCAGCGGCAGCCTGGCGTCATTTTCCTGGCAAGGACAATCCAGCGGACGTCGCTTCCAGGGGAACCACGCTACCTGAACTTGCGCTGGACGAGAAATGGAAATGTGGGCCAGCATGGCTGGAGACATCTGACGGACAGGACATCAGCGCTAGTAGCATGCCCGAGGAGTGCCGTGCAGAGATGAGCAGAAGAGAAATGGAAGTCGTCGACAACTCAGCCGCCTTACTGACAACGACACATCCATCGTCAGACATCGGACTGGTCATCGACTGTACCCGATTCAGCAATTACAACCGACTTCTGAGAGTGACAGCTACAGTGCTGAAGGCCATACAGCGCTTCAAGTCTAAACGGCAAGAGAGTGAGAGCGAACTCACGGCTGGAGATTTAGATCTCGCCGAGAAGCTGTGGATCAACCAACTTCAACTTGCGCTCCCGTCTCATCAGCACTACAAGTCTTGGCAGGCAGAATTCGGTCTGTTTGTGGACAACGGTCTCATCCGCTGCGGTGGCCGACTCCAGAACTCTGATTTGCCTCTGACAACCAAGCACCCGTACTTTCTGCCGAAGGATCACCACGTGACTGACCTGATTGTTAATGAGTGCCATGCCCGAGTGATGCATGGTGGGGTCAAGGCCACACTAACGGAGTTTCGCGCACGTTTCTGGCTCGTGAAGGGACGTCAACGGATATGTCAAATTATTCACAGCTGCAGAACTTGTCGTCGCCACGACTCGAAGCCATACACAGGACCCAAAGCACCTCCGCTACCAAGATTCCGGGTAGAGCAGACTACTCCATTCAGCTACGTGGGAGTTGACTATGCCGGACCACTACACATCCGGAATGAGAATGGTCCAGCCAAGGTTTGGATATGCCTGTTTACGTGCTGCACGACTCGAGCAGTTCATCTAGATGTCGTTAGTGAAATGTCCACGTCGGCGTTTATGTTGGCATTTCGGCGCTTGTCCGCCCGATTTGGAACGCCAGCCAGTGTAATTTCCGACAACGCAGCAACTTTCAAGGCCGCAGCGCGGAAATTGGTCAACTCAAGGGTCAACTGGCTATTTAATGTCGAGAAGGCACCGTGGTGGGGTGGGATATTCGAGCGCCTAATCAAGTCGATGAAGGGCTGCTTGAAGAAGGTCATTGGCAACGCGCATTTGTCTTTAGATGAATTGCAGACTATTCTGATGGAAGTGGAGAGAACTCTGAACTCGAGGCCACTAACGTATGTATCGTCGGAAGACACCGAGAAGCCCCTCACCCCCAGCTACTTGCTATGTGGGCACCGATTGCATGGTCAGGCGGATGAGCTTGTGCCCCAAATGGACCCGGACTTTGACTTAACTCCAGGAGACGCCAACCGGCGACTGGCATACCTCGACAGCATCCTCACCCATTTCTGGAGTCGATGGCGACGGGAGTATTTGGTTGACCTTCGCGACAGCCATCGCAGCTTGCAGATTACAGCCGGGGACGCGGTGTCACTTGATGATGTGGTGATAATTGAGGACGAGTCAGCCAAGCGATGTCAATGGAACCTTGGAAGGGTCCATGAGCTGCACACGGGAAGAGACGGGCAAGTTCGTGCCGTTACGCTTCAGATGGGTTCAGGCCGGAAGCGCCATTACTTGAAGAGACCAGTCCAGCACCTCTATCCCGTAGAGTTGTCTAACAGTCAGCAGGTTGACGTTGAGCAGCATGAAGACGCTCCAGCACGCCGACCAAGATCGCAGAGACGTGCAGCTGCTCACGCAAATGAAATGAGACAAGCGCTGATCACTAATAACTGCATTTAATTTGGGTCTACTCACAATTGTCCATAACTGTCCAATTGGGGGGAGTGTAGGAAATGCTCATTTTGCTAGAAAGTTCAAGAATCTATTTATTCATTTATTTCTTATTTGTCTGAAGTCACTAACTAACTTACATTAAAATTACAGTCTTCTCAGATATTTATTTACCGGTTTTCATTCCGTTTCGGTATTGCAGACGCTCGTTTGTAGTGTGTGTCTCATACTACGTAACTGTTTCTACGTACCGGTAACTTCTTCAGCGGACACAGATACGTGTAACGTGTGCACGTATAACTTGTTCTACATACGCGCGCACCCCTTTGTGTGCGCATGCTGTTCCTTTTTTGCTATGCTCTTGTAAAATGAAATCATTCTTGTTTTCGAGTTATCTGTCGTCCATTGCTTGGACTTCTTTGGAGCGAATAATTATTGAAGGGAAGAGTCAAGATGTATTCTCTTGTTGGAATAATGAGCATGAGCCTGATGTCAGTGATGAGGATATAAATTAGTTAATCCTCCAGTTCCCACGGAATTCGTATGTTGAGAATTTCGTACAATAATTGCATCGCAGCTCAAAGAAACGATTTGGTGACCCATGCCGCTCGTCAACATTTACCACACTTTCGACACGTCCACTCCATATCGATACGAGGAAGAACTCGTTTGGTGTAAACCAGAGTATCGACATGAGTGAGTTGTCATTTTTCGTGCTTTCGCGCGGAATATTTCTTCGAGTTCATAGTGAGTTTTTCCAGGCAGCGCTCGAGCGCTCATACGGTAAGACGGAAAACTCCCCAGGGCGATCACCAGGATTGTAAATCTTTTTGAACGGACTGTACACATGCGCGCGCATACACAATACTAGGGATAAAATGGGTGTACCGGTACACGGGTATCTGCTACTTGATCAAATGGGTGTACTGGTACACGGGTATCTGCTACTTGATCAAATGGGTGTAACGGTACACGGGTATCTGCTAGTTGATCTCAGGTAGAGGGGACGGCTCGATACCGGGACGTTTTGACAGCCAAATTTGTATAGATCCAAACCGATCATCAGCGTTGATTTTTCACTCGAAATATGTTTGTGGAAGGAAACTGGCATGTTGAAGTTTGCTCTGAGGCCAGAGTCATTCGAACTGAGCCGCTCCTTTGTGTTGACCCATTGCCTCCAAGTTGCCCAATTTTTCGCTTCAAAAAAGTTCAAATCAGAGGTGGCTCCAAACCGGACACGTTATAGAGTGCACGTCAAATTCACTCTGGGTCTGAAATTAGGTAATTGCTATCGCTCCACGACGACCAGTACAGAGTAACAATAAGCCTTGTGTGTGCTTCCATTAGTTTTGATTGGTATGCGGTGCTTTATTGGCGAGAGGCGAGCCGCTGTTTACCTGCGACAAGCAGTTGATTTTTCGAAAGTCGTAAAACTCAAGTCGCAGTGCGAAGCAACACATCAAAAACTCACCTGCTTGATATGACGCTTCTGGTCATCGCAGAGCCATGAAATTTTGGCTCGGAGTATAACACATCGTAGTCTCACTGTGACATATGTTTTCTAATCAAAATACCAAGAGAGAAAGTGAATATTGAGTCCGTTCCGGTTTGCAACCGGTGTCCTATTTGAAACCGTCCCCTCTACCGTTAGTAAAAGGGAACCCTTTTTGGATGTTGATTATCCTATCAGTACGGAATAACACCGCTGGGACCGCATATTGCAGGCGGTGACGACCCTGGAGGATCTAGGCGACACAGTATTACACAGCGCCAGGCGCCCAACATCTACTCCCACCTGCTAGGTGGGAGTCCCTTTTGCATCAACTGTCGCACCGGAAAATGTTGGTGGCGCAAGGAGCAGCTTGTCGTTTGGAGTGACAAGTGATCACCGCTGCTTTTCCTTGTCAGAGCAAACAATACACTTTGTTCTGCGGTGTTGGGAGTGTTGAGGTGTTGTACTATCTGCCGTTGTATAGTGGTTGCTCATTGGGGACGTAGCTCGCTGTTTTATCAGCGCTTGTAATTTGGCTATTTTCAAGACGATCATTTGTGGCATCAAGGGATGATGGCCCTCGTCTTCTAGGATGCTGGCGTGGCTAAGTGGTGCTGCCTTTTAACCCTTTGTGAGTCCACTGGTTTCGGAGAAAATGACCAAATTTTCCATTCCGACAATAATCCCCTGTAACTCCACAGTTTTTGAGAATATGTAATTAGAAGTTGTGTTTTTCTGAATGGAATCGTTCGGCTGAATCCAAAAAACTATGTTAGAATGTTGCCATGGTTACCAATGTTGCCATATTAGGCACATATTGTCATAATCAAGTGTATAGCCGCGTTATTTACAGAGCGCACCATAGGAAGGAAATGAAACCATACTTTTATGTACAAATATACAGTAGACAAGATAGAAACTCACAGCACTGAGATAAGATATCCTTCACGGGAAGTGGCGTGCATGGTAAGCGGCGTAGCAGTCGTGGTCGCTCGTGATGTGGAGGTGAACATCGCACGTAGTGCAGTAGGTTACACACTGGTGCTGCTTGTTACCCACTTCTGTGCAGTTTCTGCAGTTCTTCCTTTTCCTCACTCCAGGTATGTGAAGCTGAGCAACAGGAACCTGGACATCCTGCGGAACAGGCACTGGGCGATACGAGCGCTTCGGTGGCGGTGCATGCTCATCAATCGATGACAGCTGCCGGATGAGGTTACAGCGGAAATCCGAGTGCTGCAAGTTGCATCGTCGACTTATCACCCCTGGATGCTGGCTCTGCCACAAGTGAAAGAGGCGGTATGCATTGACAGCGCACACGTCGACCATATCCAAGAAGAGACTCTTCCAGTATTTCTTCGTTTTGCGAAGCACACGGTGCGTTTCGATCAGCTGATCGAACGTGTCGACTCCACCCATGCTGCTGTTGTAGTCTCTGATGCACATTGGCCTCTGCACTTCCATTTGCTGGTGTGCACCATCAATCTTGACATTTCTTGTTACTGTGTCATGCTCATGGCCCTGATGTATGTTGCTGTACATTGACACACACCGCTTGTCCTTCCATTGCTGGTACAGGTGATCTCCGTTGCGAACATAGCGTGTTGCACCTCGCTCTGCATGTTTCTCGAACTGTTTCATGTCGGTCCGCAATACGGCTGGAAATCCAGTGCGGTTCGCGCGGACGGTGCCAACCAACGATATTTGCTTGGTACGAAGAGATGTGGCCAGGGTTTCGGAAGTGTAAAAATTGTCCGTGTAGATCACACTTCCGGCGCGCACGTCACTGACCAGCCGCATCACCACAGCATGAGTCAGGCCATTTTCACCTCCAGGTTGCTGGCCTGTGTAAACTTCAAAGTTTACAACAATGGAGCTTTGGGCGTCGCAGGCAGCGAAGACCTTGAAGCCCCATTTGACGGGCTTTTTGGGCATATACTGCGTAAAAGGAGCGCGTCCCTTGCACTTGACCATGCGCTCGTCAACACTAACGCACTTGCCAGGGATGAACAAACGCTTGCAGGCCGCCTGCAGATGGTCGTGAAGGTATCGCACCTTACGAAGTCGATCATTTATATCCTCTGCCCTGAAGTCCACAATCTTGATGAAGCACATCAGCGCTAAGTACCTCTGGTAGGTTCGAATCATGCAGCGTGCATAGTTTCCGTTGTACAACGACGTAACGCGCCAGTAGTCCCTCGTCGCAGGCAGAGGATGAAATCCCTGGAAGAAGAGAAATGCAAGGAGGCCGTAAAACTCATTACGGTTGGTCTCCTTCCACACACCATCCGTCTGGTACGTCTTTTTTTCAGCGATATGCTCGTGCGCATACAAATTTGTAAACTTGACAATTGAATCCACAACTTCGTCCGGGAAATATAGTTTGAAGAAATCAAGTTCACATGTTGGAGCGAAATTATCAGGTAGGTTCAAACCAGTGCCAGTTATGTTGAACTCAGGTGTATTGGTTTGCAGCTGGTCAACATCATCATAGCCACTACAATTTTCGTACTGTATACCACGTCCTCGTCCTTGCCCTCTTGCAGCTCCGCGTCCTCGCCCTCTTGCAGCTCCACGTCCTCGCCCTGTCGCAACTCAATGTCCTCGCCCTGTCGCAGCTCCACGTCCTCGCCCTCTTCCACGCGCGGGGACACCTACTGCTTGGCCTCTGCCTCGTCCAGGGCCACGTCCACGAGCAGCGACGGGAACAGGAATAGCGATATCAAAAAGTATTCTTTCTAGACCAAAGAGTGGTATATTTGATAACATTTAATAACGATAGAAATTTTTACGATACTTCTCCAGACGTTTCGTTGTTCTGAACAACATCGTCAGTGGATAAAGAAAGATTTCTTTATCCACTGACGATGTTGTTCAGAACAACGAAACGTCTGGAGAAGTATCGTAAAAATTTCTATCGTTATTAAATGTTATCAAATATACCACTCTTTGGTCTAGAAAGAATACTTTTTGATATTACAATGAGAGTGAATAATCAACGGCTTGTCCACCAACTCAATAGCGATATCGTCAGCCGAATCGGATCCTATTTGCTCCAAGTCGGAAAAGAGATCGTCATTCAGGCGATCTTCCTCGTCAGACGAAATAAAATCGTTGTCCGAGTCGCCTACCTCGTCGCCTGAAGAGCAAGCGATATCCTCTACTGGGAGATCTGCTTGGTCCGCGTCTTGTATTAGGCGAAGCGCCTCGTCTGCATCCATCGCTGGATAAGTCCAAATTCTAATTTTGACATAATTGCAAAGGCTCTTTCAAAGCGTGCTATCAAAAAAAATTTAGTGGCGACCTACATCATGTTTAGTACCTACGTCACGGAAATTTTCTCAGGTACGCGGTGGTGAAGTCTCGGCGCGATGCGGTAAACCAGTCAAGCGCGACGATCAAAAATGTGACGCGCATTTGAAACGAGCGAAATCGCTCGTTGAGCGCACAAAGGGTTAAGAACTCTTCTAAGGTGAGCTTATGTTGGCTTGATGGAATTTTGTTCGTAGCTTGGTCTTTT